ATCTTATCTCACTACAGCAGAAAAAAAACCGATTAATTTTTCGCAAGTTGCTTTTGCAACAAAGAACAGTTCAAACCAGCAATGAATGGACAAAATCGATTATAAATAGTTTGGAATCACCATGCCATCATTTTCTGTAACTCCTACCAACTTGTTACAGTTTATGTACGTTAAAAGACCAAGGAAATCTAATAAATTCCATACACCTTTTGAAAATTTTTATGATTAGACCCTTGCTCACTGTGTTTGAAAGTTCATATTAACATCAAAATAACACACATTATATGTTACTCAGTAATTTTGTCTCAGTTTTCCTGCACAATATAATGCAAAGCATAATTCTAAGACTTTAGTAAGAGTAAGACTACCCAATGTGCAAAACATGATATGAAAATTAGAGCTTGCCTTCACTTCAACCACTACTGTGTCTATAGGCCTATCAACATTATTACACCTTTCAACACGCAGCCTTAATTTTTTGCCTACAAAATTGTAGCTTTCAAAAATCTCAACCAGCAATTTCATTTTCTTTGTGTGAAAATAACAGCTTATACAAGCATTTGATCACTGGCTGTGTGGTTGCACTGTACTTTCAGTCTGAATGATGTATAACGCAGTTCTTTAGGCCACACCGATTTAATTTATTGGTTCTCGGATTCGCCTCTTCATTTTTTTCTGATTTGCAAAAAAAAAGATTCTGGTTCGGAATCAACTGAAAAATGCTCATGTTTTGCCCCCCAACAGTTGAGGAAAGTCCTTTTCTTCCTAGTTGTTACAGTTTTCCCATCTATCATTGCAGTGGTTTGATTAAAAGTTCAAAATTTAATGTTTAAATTTTAACCCAGCCTTTTGTGTTGACTTCATGGCTCATTTTGTAGCATTTAAGCCTATAATAGGATGCCTAGACCTGTTTTTATTTTATTTTTTTTCGCCCTGTCGCTTCATATTTTTTCTGAAAAAAATCCGAGAACCAACAAATTAAATTGGTGTGGCCTTATTCCATGACATCTTATCTCACTACAGCAGAAAAAAAAATGGATTAATTTTTCGCAAGTTGCTTTTGCAACAAAGAACAGTTCAAACCAGCAATGAATGGTCGACAAAATCGATTATAAATAGTTTGGAATCACCATGCCATCATTTTCTGTAACCCGTACCAACTTGTTACAGTTTATGTACGTTAAAAGACCAAGGAAATCTAATAAATTCCATACACCTTTTGAAAATTTTTATGATTAGACCCTTGCTCACTGTGTTTGAAAGTTCATAACATCAAAATAACACACATTATATGTTACTCAGTAATTCTGTCTCAGTTTTCCTGCACAATATAATGCAAATCATAATTCTAAGACTTTAGTAAGAGTAAGACTACCCAATGTGCAAAACATGATATGAAAATTAGAGGTTGCCTTCACTTCAACTTAACTACTGTGTCTATAAGCCTTTCAAAATTATTACACCTTTCAACACGCAGCCTTAATTTTTTGCCTACAAAATTGTAGCTTTCAAAAATTTCAACCAGCAATTTCATTTTCTTTGTGTGAAAATAACAGCTTATACAAGCATTTGATCACTGGCTGTGTTGTCGCACTATTAGTACTTTCAGTCTGAATGATGTATAACGCAGTTCTTAGGCCACACCGATTTGATTTGTTGGTTCTCGGATTCGCCTCTTCATTTTTTTCTGATTTGCAAAAAAAAAAAGATTCTGGTTCGGAATCAACTAAAAATGCTCATATTTTGCCCCAACAGTTGAGGAAAGTCCTTTTCTTTGTAGTTGTTACACTTTTTCCATCTATCAATGCAGTAGTTTTATTAAAAGTAGTTTGATCAAAATTCATTGTTTAAATTTTAACCCAGCCTTCATGGCTCCTATTGTTAGCATTTGGGGCTATAATAGGATGCCTATGTTTTTATTACCTGTTTTTATTTTAATTTATTTTTTTCCCTGTCCCTTCATATTTTTTCTGAAAAAATCCGAGAACCAACTAATTAAATTGGTATGGCCTTAAATGTGATTTGCTAGAAAATTCATCAATCAGTCGTGAAAGGTTCTCCTTAATGCAAGGATTACCCAAGGAAGCAGATAAGTGTGAACTTTTTCGCAAGCAGTTTTTAAACGTGATTCATGAGAAAAACGGTGGCTATCAATCATGATCAGTGGCGAAAGCTCCGACATAATGCAGGGATTACTCAAGGACGTTTGGGAAGGGTAAGTGTGGACTACTTCGTGCTGACAGAGTGAAATGATTGGTTCAACACTTTGTCGAGGGTTTTAGGCGCCCTCCCAACTGACATATTGGGAAACAGGAAGGGTCTATGACGTACTAGATAAATGATGGGTTTTATACAGGTAAAAGTAATACCCTAGACCAATCTATTTATCTTTACGATTCAGCATCTTGTCATGACCAGACATCCAGATGTGTTAAAAAGTCTGCTCCAGTCAGAAAAAAAGTCTGTTCACAAATTGTGTGTGGAGAAAGTATGTTATATGTATCATGATTGTGTAAATATGTGATTGTAAACCCTGCATCAATTCGCTATAAAAGGCATGCGCGGGTAATGTTTGACCAATAGACCAATAAAACAAAATTTCCTTCACTTTTTCTGTCTATGAAAATGTATTCTGATCTAGATTCTACCTTTCTGCCTCATCTTAATTCATGACACGAGAACTGGCATTTGCGACTGTTTTCTCTGCATTTGCTATTAAGATTATATAAAGACCACTATTGATCGACAAAAGGTAATTTGAGGCCTTGAAACAAGGACCAAAGAGAATACAAAACATTTTGATAGCCTGAGTGTTTTCGAAGATGCCCATCCTATATTTTTTTCTCTGTATGATAAATCTACCAACTATACTTTTCTTTCAACAATCTCCAAGCTCATTTTCAGCCATTTACTTTCATATGTGCGCACAGTGAACTGTGGTTATCCTATTAAACTGTATCTGAGCTCCATTTTATTCTGGCCACGTTTGTGGCATTATTGTCCCCAGATCCACTCTATCAAGATTTCGTCCTACCAAAGGGTCAAACACCTGTAACTGAGCCTGGGGAATACAAGTTAGATGAGATTTGGCCAAAGCAAGTCAATTTTATGTATGACATCCTCCGCAGACTCCAAATCTAATGCAGTACTGGGCAAAAAAAAAAACATAGTGGCAAAAAAAAAAACAAGATTTCCACATTTCCAAATTTTTTACATCATAAGCTTTTTTAAAAATGTATTGTGGTAAGTTTACTGACAACAATAAAAAACATCCATTTGTCACTGAAACTAGTTTGAAAAACAAGTTTTCATTCAGTGGGAACACTACAAAATTATATACAGCCACCATCACATATAAAAGGAATGAAATACTTATTAATAATCACTGCATTTAATTTAGTGAAGTAAAAGTCTTGTCTCCTCTTTTCATATTTATCTGCCATCCACATTCCGGCATGGCAACAGACATCTTTTCGCATTTTCACATGTTGACCACTGTCAGAAGGCAACAAAATTTCTTGTTTTTACTTCCAAAATCAGGTGATAATTAAAATTACTTGCTGTGGGCCCATATGCATGAAACACACAGCAGAATGTAGGCATTCATGTATATCCTCCTTGTCTGCGATTTTCTGAGGGGAAATCAGAGGAAAGTTTTTCGCCATCACGTTCGGCCTAATTTGTTTCTTGTTGCCCATTAGCTGAGTGGTCCTGCGGGAGTAGGCTTTCCACGCGTAGAGGCTATAGGCTGTTAGCGAACAACATCGCGGAGATAAAAGACCATTTACGGCCATTAAAAAGGGTAATCTGCAAACCAACCTGCTTCAGTGAATTGAAGAAAATGAAAAAGTGTGAGTTCTTAGAATCAAAATTGAGCCACAATGATAACATCTGTGCCCATAATATCACCAGGGTCCATAATATCGCCACCTTGAGAAAAAGTGTGCTTAAAGATATTTTTACTGCAACATACCCTAGGTATGTACATTTGAGGTGTGAAGGAGTGCATACCAAAAGTATGTTGCAGTAAAAATATCTTTAAGCACACTATTTCTCAAGGTGGCGATATTATGGACCTTGGTGATATTATGGACCCAGATGTTACATTTTTATTTCTATGAAGTATTTTTCTTCCAATTAATTTCTAACACAAGAAACTATAAATAGCATAATTCATAGGTGCATGTAAGATGTTACAATGCATCTTGATCTAGCAGTAGTTAAAACTTTAAGCTTTCCCAGCAAATACGTCAATTAAAAGAAGATTTCTGTAATCTGATTACCACCTGCCATCATCACAAGTACCATAAAGGACCAAGTTATCTAATAGCATTATGATTTAACTTAATACTGATAAATGCTCCTATTTGGGAAGTTAAACGTTATACATGTATTAGGCCACACCAATTTAATTTCTTGGTTAACGGATTCGCCCGCTTCATTTTTTTCTGATTTGCAAATAAAGATAAAAATTCAGAATCAACTGCAAAATGTTCAATTTTGCCCTGAACAGTTGAAAACAGTCCTTTTCATCCTAGTTGTTACAGTTATTCCATCTTTCAATGCAATGGTATCATTAAAAGTTCAAAATTCATTGTTTAAATTTTGAACCAGCCTGGTGTGTTGACTTCATGGCTGCTATCGTACCATTTTGGGCCATAATAGGATGCCTAGGCCTGTTTTTATTTTTATTTTTTTTTCTAGAAAAATCCGTTAACCAAGAAATTAAATTGGTGCGGCCTTACATTACATTGTAAAATAATTTGATGTGCATGTGTCTCTGTTGAAAAAGCTCCAGATATTTCATGGAGGTACAAAATGTATGAGGTCTCCAAATTCCTGTTATGTATCATTCTGCAATATCTGAGTACTTGATATTATTCATGTAATTTTTGGGATAGTTTTGATGAGCGTCTGTCTTAATGAGCTGTAACAATAGCCTTTTTGCTCTATGTTAGCTTTAACCTAAACATTCAAGCAAACACGATTCGGATACTGGATTCTGCTCTCGGAGGAGTGTATTTATTCACAGTGTAACACAATAATAAACAACCACAGCCTTGTAACGACAAGATATCCAAGCTTTCTTCTACAGTTCCTGACAACTAACAAGAGCCTCAGTTACATTAACAATCGGACATTGCGTTGTGTACTTTTTTATAGACAAGTGACTAAGGACTTACTTGTTCAGTTGGAACGGACACAGGACACTCAGAAGTCACTCCGCCTAGACTCTCTCGTAATCACTCCCGACACACGACTGTGTCCTGCCTTTAAAGCTATCCTAATTATGCGCATAACCGACTCTGACCTTGATTGGTAGACAATACGGCAGCCCACATATAGGTGTTAACTGAGCTTGTCTAGCCACTTCTTTGTGGTGCATATCAATACTGGCAGACGGGCAAGATGTTAACAGAAGTACAATGCTGTTGATATACATAATGTATTTTGACATAATATATTTTGACACATTATTAGGCTGGCCACCAAGCGTTACATCTACCCCCTCCTTTGAAAAAAAAAGGTGCTCCTGCACCTTTACTACATATACTCTAAATAACATACTCAATGATTCGTACACCTAATACAGATGCAAACACAACAAATCCATCAAAACAACAATAGAACCACTACACAACTGAAATCCACTAATCAACTGAAGCCAAGATAATTGAATGATAATGCATTGTACAGAATACACAACTAGGTCAGGCATCGAGTGAGATGTCACCATGGTAACAAACATTTTGTTGGACAGCCCTGGAGTTCAGGTTTGCGACTCGACGGACTACTGAGGGCAACCTAGCACAGGCTTCGGGGTTAGACGCAGAGCACGTTGTGGGGTGTGGAACAGCATAAAACGAACCAGGGGAATCTTGTCCCTTAGACTTACACCAGCTAAGCAGCCTACAGTGGCGACAGCCTGTAGAGTATTGCATTTCGCAACCTCAGCCCAACCATTAAGAGCGGAGACCTCCTGGAGAGGGGGTCCAACGGGCTCACGCCGAAGCTACCCTCGTACCTCTCCCTAGCTAGCTTCTATGAAGCTACTAGGCACGGCCTTTCTCCGCCCCAACACAACCGATCAGCTGTGCCGGCACGATGAAACATCTCATCGCTTTCTACCGGAAAGGCTTACAGATACTCGAACGCTCACTGCCAATGTATTTCCATTGCAAACAGGTGGCTGTAGTTGGCCACTACGGACCAAGGACACATGACAAACAGCTTCTGTGTCCAGTAGTGCCATTTATGTATGGAAATAAGTTCTTGTTCTGTCCTCTGCCTGTTAGGCTAACAAGAACTGAAGTGTGCTGCCCAGTACTGACCCCACGAACATGTCTGACGCCCAAGTCCCCTTACCTATCTCCCGCTGACCCGGAGTAGATGGTCGAGGCACCTGTCGTACCACTTCAGGACACCTCCCTTCGATACCTGAGCCACGTGTGGACCTCTGAATGCACGACTTGGCGTTGTTGCATGTTCTTTTCAATGGATGCATATCAGACAGAGTCTTGGGTTTCTTATCAGTGTCTATACTGTTCACATGGAACCCATATCGGACCGGGGGTTGACAGGAGCGTGTTGACCGCCGTGGTGCAGGAGCGTCGTCTTGTTCGTCCTCACTGCCCGATGCCTCCATAGGACCAGTTTGCTCCCTTCCTGGAGGCTGCGCTGTCTCCCCATCAGACGCGTCACTTTCCATCAGGACACCTGTCGCGTCGTCCGCCGCCAGGGCTGGAACCACCTGCTGGACGCCGTCGCTCAAGTTGCCAACAGCCTGCTGAGAGACGTCACCCACGTCTGCGATGTCAGACTGGCCAGCATCTCCGACGTCCTCGGAGTTGGAGGGGTCATCGTCACTGCCCGCGGTCGGGGCACCGGCTTGCTGGATCGTGGCCTCTGTAGCGAGGGTGTCGTCATCACTGTCTGACAGGCTGCTATCATCTGAAATGACAGGCGGGGGTACGAAACCCCCAGGACGGCGGACCCGCCTTCCGGCTCGGGTCGCCGGGGTTATTGCATGATGTCTAGCCCTTCGTGGGAGAGGAGGAAGATAATCAGGATCTTCCTCCCTTTCTCTGTAGGGCACAATATTTTCAAAATGAACAACTTTGCCATCATTCGACCTGGGCTTGCGGATGCGGTAGGCATTTTCGCCAACCCGTTCAACAACAATAAATGGCCCCTCGTACCTGTGAGCCAACTTTCTGGCGAGGCCCTTACCTACCGCTTTTCTGGCTACCAGGACCTTGTCCCCTTCTTGGAAGGGGGCGCCATAGACCTTTTTGTCAAACAATTCTTTTTGGCGTTTGTTTGCCTGTTTAGTGTTGTCGGACACAAATTTGAAAATTTGGGGAAATTTGTCCACCATATCTCTGACGTACTCCTGCACTGGAGCAGATACTGCAGAGGGGATGCCAAACATGAGTTCTACCGGCAACCGAGCCTCACGCCCATGCATAATAAAGTAGGGTGTGAATTTGGTGGTAGAGTGTTCACTTGTATTAAAAGCGAACTTCACCATGGGGAGATGAACATCCCAATCCCTCTGATTTGCACTGACATACGCCCTTAGGATGTTTCCTAACGTTCGATTGAAACGCTCGACCATGCCATCGGACTGAGGGTGATACGGAGTAGTGCGTGTCTTCCCAATCCTCATGTACTTGCATAGCTCTGCGATCAGGGTGGACTCGAAATTACGGCCCTGATCCGTATGGATCCGTTCTGGGGGCCCATGGACGCACACCCAGCCTTCGAATATGACCCTAGCAACCGTAGACGCTGTTTCATCAGGTATGGCGAATATTTCTACCCATTTAGTAAAATAGTCGGAGAGCACCAAAACATACTTATTACCTGATGAAGTTTTTGGGAGGGGGCCTACTACGTCAATTGCTATCCTTTTGTTCGGGTAGCCCACTGCACTGGGTTGTAGAGGGGCCCGAGGACGTCGCCTCCCGCCCTTAGTCTTGGCACAAATGTCACAACAGGTAACATGCACAATCACATCCTTGGTGAGCCCAGGCCAATAGAACCCCCTCAGTAACTTTTCTTTAGTCTTATCCACTCCGAGATGTCCACCCGCGGGACTGTCATGGACACAACTTAAGACTTTGGACACCAATACTCTGGGGACAAGTAACTGCTTCTGAGTGGGGTTGTCTTCTTGGGGCCCAACTCTATACAGGATACCATTGTGTACCTCTAACAGGTCCCAGTCCTTATATAGTTCGAGGGTATGCCGACTGGCATCGGCCAAAGCGGTCTTGTCCGGCTTGTCTTTCTGAGCCAGCTTGTCCTTAAGGACTGGGCCTATTGTAGGGTCATTCAACTGTGCGGAACTCATATCACGTTGCCCTAATTCAGTCAACCAGGGCTCCTGAGCTGACGAAGTCCGTAAGGAATTTATAGTCGTACCGCCCAGAGATACGTAATGGTTATCGTCTACGAGACCGAGAAGTACCCACACACGGGGCGATTCATGCCCTGGCCAAATCTCTACGGGCTTACCCGCCACCCCATCGGTTACCTTGACAACTCTGACGCCTATCCCCAACGCACGTGCCAGAGCCTCCAGCGTCATGTGGTCTCCCCACACCTCGCCGTTGAGGGCTAATCTAAACAAATATTCTTCCCAGGTGTGGAACTCACTGTCTACCAGATAACTCACCAAGGGTTCTCCAGGGGCTTCTGGCCAGCATGGGTGCTGGGTCAAGTATGACACGGCTAAGGCACGCATAGACTGTGCCGAGGCATCCGGCACGACCTCTAGCCTACGTAGCTGATCAGCCATGGCGCCAAACTGACAATTACCATCAGCCGGGGGGTTGTGACGAAGGGTGTAGCCCAAGGTTCCCCATTCAAACCCGCGACTGTCTTGTTCGTCCAGACATAGGCCACAGGGACGCCGACTCAGGCCATCTGCATTGCTATGCTTAACCCCGCCCGATGGACTATTTCGAAGTCGAACGAAGCTAGTCTAGCTAACCACCGCGCATATTGCCCCGTGGGTTGCTTCATTTTGTGGAGGAATTGCAGGGCGGAGTGATCGGTCCTAGTTTGAATCTAGGGCCCAGCAGGTAACACTCATGGCGAGTAATCATCTCGACTGCTGCTAACATCTCCTTGCGGTGAGTGCAGTAATTCTGCTCTCTTTAGTCAAAGTTCTACTATAGTACAGGATGACTCGTTCCTGACCATCTTG